AAATTCAAAAACTGATTACACCAATCAATTGTACGGAAAAAAAAAACAAAAAAAACTGGCTCACTGTTTGACCCAAAACTTTATTTTTGTATAGTGTTGCTATAAACATCTAAGTCGAATAGTGAATAAATAAAATAAATAATATTTTTTCCCGTAGGATCGATTAGTGTACTTATTTTTTTTAAATTTTGATGAATTTATAGATATACAGTGTGTCCAAGATAAGGATGGGATAGCAGTTAATTTTTTTAAATACGTCGCTGTTATTTTTATGACAAAATCTAGTCATTTTAAAGGTTATCTTAAAAAGTGACCTCTACAAAAGTTGTACATTTTTGCATGATCTACAACTTTTGTATTGGATAATTTTTTGCTTGATGTCAACTTTCACCAGAAATCCCAATGATATAATTTTTCACAACTTTTAAACCCCCGAAATCAACCCTCCGTCACCTCTGCTCCCGCATTTATTTTTTTATGTTTATTATAAGCCCCTTTAGCATTTCCTCTTATAAAAATCCAGATAACAATTTTGTTTCTCCAAGTGTAATTTGGTTGGACTATTTTTTTTTCAAATTCCTAATGATTTATTTTTGTTATCAAATTAATGATATTTCAACATAGGAAAAATTCTGTTGAAGCTCGAACGGTCGAAAATTTATTGATTCCAATATTTCTTATGAAAAATTTTGTCCTACTAACCGCTTTTTGAAACATTTATGTACTTAATGTTTCATAAAACTGATACAGGTAGGCTGGGCTTTTCTTTATTCTTTTCACTTCTTTCAACTTCATTTAATCAAATCTTTTGATGAAAAGTTATATATTTAGTAACCAGTCACATTTTTGAAAGTTAACCCATGTCTGCATTATTTGCAAATTAAACTTTTCCTTCCTGTTTTAACTTTTCCTATTTTACTTACAGAAATCTTTTAAGGGAAAACTGTACTTATATTTATTAACCAGATGTCATTTTAAAACTTTATACTATTGTTCCAAAAATAAGCCAAATGTTGCATATTCTTTTCACATTTTCAAACTTATCTATGAAGCTGTTTAATGATTTTTTTTTTTATTTTATTTATTAACAGCTGCTTTTTTGAAAGTTTGCATACTGTATGTTACGTAAAACTAATCCAGGTTAGAATGGAAGGAAACTAGATATTTCTTTATCTTTTTTACTTTTTTCTACTTTCTTTGTTAAAGTACATTGATGGAAAATTTTGTATTTACTGATACAATTTTTGAACATTTTTATACTGGATATTCCAATAATGTTGATCCTGTTCAGACATTCATATTTTTCTGTATTTTATTCTACTTTATTTATTGAGAACTTTTGATGAAAAGTTTTATATGTTTTTTAAACTTCACGATCTACTAAATGTTCTATAAAATTGACCTAACATAGAATCACGGAGGATGGAATATTCCTTATCATTTTTACTTTACGAGTATTTATTGAAGTAATTTTAGTTCTTAAAATCTTTTGAAAAAAAACTACATTTACTAACCAGATGCCTTTTTGAAACTCAATATATACAAGGTATTCCATAAAATTAATGCGGAACAGAATCGGGGCCACATATAACTTTATTTTCCTAATTTTTTCAACTTATTAAAGTTTTGTTGAAAAATTTCATATTTACTAAACAAAGGGTTTTCTGAAAATTTATGTACCTACAAAGTATTCTATAAAATTGACGGAGATCTGGATCAGATTTTTCCTTCCATTTTTTACTTTTTCTGTTTTACTTACATATTGACTCTTTTCGTCATGTTTTATGCTTACTAACTAACCAACAAAATTGACCTAGGTAGAATAGGGGTATTTAGATAGACTTTTCCGCGATTTTGTAAGTAAATTTTCGTTTCTCAACGGCTTCTCCGCCAAAACGGCCATTTTTTAAAGTGTTATCAAACATTTATATACAGATTCAACCAGCTCTGAACGCAAATCTACGAAAATTTTAAAATCACAAAAAATGTCAGATTAAAACGTCAAAATAAATTTCACGATATTTGACGTTCCTAATTGAGGTTAGTAAATCACAAGGAACCATAGATCAAATAGTAATTGATATTTGACGTATTCCGTAAGTAATTTAGATTAGAAAATCGGACGGGATCATAAAACTTATAAACTACTGGATTCGCCCAAATGAGATAGAGCTGGTGCGGGCTAATGCTTCATTCACAAAACTTCAAGTATCGCGCGAATTAAATTGAATTTCTCTTCTTTTAACAATACATATTTGTACGAATTTTAATTAATGTCAGATTGAAACGTCAAAATATATTTCAGTATATTTAACGTTTCCAATTGAGGTTAGAAAATCACAACGAACCATAGATCGATGGAAGGAACAGACTGATTGATATTTGACGTATATTTAGGTTAGGAAATCAGACGGTACCTACTACGCGATTTTTGACGTTTCTAATTGAGGTTAGAAAATCTGAAGGATCTTACCAATTGATATTTGACGTATTTCGTATTTTAGGTTAAGATATCACACATGAGTGACAAGACGATTTTTGACGTTTCTAATTGAGGTTAAAAAGTCAGTGGGGACCTACTAATTAATATTTGACGTATTTCATAGATGACATCGAGGAGAAAAAATCAGATGGACCTACTAGGCGAAAATGACGTTTCCAATTGATGTTAGAAAATTAGACGGGACTTACTAGACGACATTTGAAGTATTTATTTAAACCATCAAATTTTTGTTTACTGATCAGAGGCCTATTTCAAACTTTTTATATAGAACGTTACACGAAATTAACGCAGATTCGAAGTGCGGCAGCTTAAACAATGAACGACGACACTACGCGCTGTCTCTCAAGTCAGACTGGAAAACTAGCATTTTGGCGGACGACTGGGTTTCTCCGCGAGATCCGAAGCGGCATAATCGAGCCTCATCTCCCTTCGTTCGTCGGTTAATCAAATTTTTGCAATTTTATATTCGCGTTTTCCAATATACTTTCTCCGTGGACTTCTCACTGACATACGGCCATTTTATAAGCGAAATGGAGATTCAAAGAACCGCGAACGCAAATCGACTAAAATCTGAAAATCACGAAGAATGTCAGATTGAAACGTCAAAATAAATTTCACTATATTTGACGTTTCCAATTGAGGTTAGAAAATCACAACGAACCGTAAATCGATGGGAGGAGCATACTGATTGATATTTGACGTATTTCGTAATTTAGATTAGGAAATCAGACGGTACCTAGTACGCGATTTTTGACGTTTCTAAGTGAGGTTAGAAAGTCAGAAGGAACGTACTAATTGATATTTGAGACGTGTTTCGTATTTTAGGTTAAGATATCACACAGAAGTGACAAGACGATATTTGACGTTTCTAATTGAGGTTAAAAGGGTTGAGGTTTCTAAGAAAATTGCGTTGAAGCTCGAACAGTCGAGAGTATTCTGCATATTTCAGAAATTTATTAGTTGCAATATTTTTATGAAAGATCGTATATTGTACAACTGTAGAAGCATTTTGCAAATTTATAAACTGAGTGTTTCATAAAAATGAAACAGGCGGACAAGGACTTTTTTCTCATTTCACTACCTACTTTCCTACATTATTGAAATCTCTTGATGAAAATTTATATAGTTACTAACCAGACGCTTTCTTTGAAAATCCATATACTAGATGTTTACATAAAATGGCCCAGGTAAGAATTATCGATCCAGAGGCTTCTGTATATTTCAGAAATTTATCGATGGCCATATTTTTATGAAAAATCTTATATTGTAGAACTCAGCAGCATTTTGCAAATTTATATATGGAGTGTTTCATATAAAAATGAAACAGGCGGACTAGGATTTTTTTCTCATTTCACTACCCACTTTCCTACATTATTTATTGAAATCTCTTGATGAAAATTTATATAGTTACTAACCAGACGCTTTCTTTGAAAATCCATATACTGGATGTTCTATATAAATTGACCCAGGTCAGAATTATCGGTCCAGAGGCTTCTGTATATTTCAGAAATTTATTGATGGCAATATTTGTATGACAAATCATATCTTATTAACCAGTTGCTTTGTACTGGATGTTTCATAAAGCTGACACATGTGGACTAGGCTTCTCTATTCTTTTTACTTTGTTTACTTTCTCTACTGAAACGTTTTGAAGAAAACTAACCAACTCCAAATTGAGGCAGGTCTGATTAACAGGCAAAATTTTCCTTTCTCTTTTAACTTTATTTTTACTTACTGAAGGCTTTTAATGAAAAATTGTATATTTACTAACCATATACCTTTTTGGAAGTTTATACTGGATGTTCCAAAAACTGATCCACTTCAAAATTATGAGAAAGTGAAACTTAACTTATTTTTCCCGTTTCTGCCTTACCTACGTACTGAAATCTTTGAATAAAAAATTGTCTATTTACTGTATGTTCTACAAGACACTTCAGAATTAGGAGAGCGAAACTTAACTTATTTTTCTCCATTTCTGACTTACCTACGTACTGAAGTCTTTGGATGAAAAATTTTATATTTACTAACTAGATACCCTTTTGGAAGTTTATACTGGATGTTCAAAATGATCTACATCAGAATTGAAACCAAAACAAAAAGGCGGCAGACCAGATATTTTTTTGACCCTTTTTACCTTTTTCTACTTTCTTTGGTAAAGTTCAATGATAAAAAATTTTGTATTTACCAACACGATGCTTTTTTGATAATTTTTATACCGAATGTTCCAACAAAATTGATCCAGATCAGAGCTGCAAGTGTTCAAACGTATTCATATTGTTTTTATTTCATTCAACTTTATTTTTTGAGGTAACAATTTTATAATATGTAATTTGAAGCTTTTCAATATAGTGCATGTTCTATAAAATTGATCCAGAACAGACATTGACCGTGGATTATTCCTTATCATATTTATTTCTTCTACTTTATTTATTGAAGCCTATTCACGAAAATTTCTTTATTTACTAACCAGATGCCATTTTAAAATTTGCTACACAGAATGTTTCACAAAATCGACCCACATTTTAATGGTGATAATAATGTAGATGGTGGTGATATAGATCATGTAAATAATGGTAACGTAGATGATGGCGATGTAGACGATGGTGATGTAGATGACGGTGGTGTAGATGATAATGACGTAGATGATAGTGGCGTAGATGATGGCAATGTAGATGATGGTGACGTAGATGATGGTGGCGTAGATGATGGCAATGTAGATGATGGTGATGTAGATAATGGTGGTGTAGATAATAGTGATGTACATGATGGTGATATAGATGTTGCTGTAGTAGACGATGGTAATGTAGATAATGGCGATGTAAATGATGGTCATGTAGATTATGGTGATGTGGATGGTGGCAATGTAGATGATGGTGATGTATATGGTGATGAAGATGTTGCCGATGTAGGTGATGGTGATGTAGGTGATGGTGATGTAGATGATGGTGATGTAGATGATGGTGATGCAGATTATGGTGGATAAATGATGGTGGTGTAGATGTAGATGATGGCGATATAGATGTAGATGAGAGTGATGCAGATGAGGGTGATGCAGATGATGGTGCTGTAGATGATGGTGATGTAGATGATTTTGGTATAAATTATGGTGATGTAGATGATGGTGATGTAGATCATGGCGATATAGATGAGTGATGTAGATGTAGATGTAGATTATGGTGATGTAGATGAGGGCGATATAGATGTAGATGATGGTGATGTAGAATACTAAATACGTTTATGGTCCTGAACTTATTTTATTTACTCAAAAAAAATTTTTTTTGAATAGAAAAAATTTACTCCAAAAAATATAATGAAAAATGTGAAGGGGTAGTTCACTTCAACGTCTTATAATAAGACGAAAAATACTTGTTTAGAAGAAACTTTATCCGACCAAATATTGTGCCAAATTTCAGTTCTTAATTTCAAACCGTTTAGAAAAAATAAAACTACCTTTTAAGGCCACTGGCCCCTTGCTAAACAAGAATAATAAAAGTTTTTAAGGCTACGTGCACTTATCGTAATAAAAGTTATAATTTCTCATGTGCCAAATTAATGTAAATGTACCATAACTAGTATTTCTTTATGCTTAATAAACGGTGTAAGAAACGTGTATTCAGTGTGAGCGAGACAGAGGCACTGAGAGTGAGATGAGAACTGAGAGCTAAGATGCACATTATGTGCAGTTGACTTTAACACCTACATTACCATGAGCTGTATTTGGCCGGCCTCGAAAATATGGCCGCCCCGGGCTTAAGTCGAATGACAAATGCTCAAATGCTAAATTATCTCTGGACGATTTGAGATTTCAACAATACAAAGTATTAACTGCAAAGTCTGCTGTTGACGCGAAATCCGGAAACCCGAAATTTTGCAAAATCGATTTATTTTTTTTCTGGCTTTATTTGTAAACCGACGTTTCGTCTTCGAGGGTCATCAGGTTAATTTTTTTAAATATATCGCTGCTATTTTTATGACAAAATCTAGTCATTTTTAATTCTGCATTAGATGATATTACTATTGTAATTGCTTAAATAGATTTTTAGCTATCATTAAAAATTTTTACGAATACGAATTTATGAAATATTTTATTATTTCTAATTAGTATTGCTAATAGTAGTAAAAAATTGTTGGATATTTTATATGGTATTGACTTTTATACTGTTATGACTTCATCCAATAGATATTTTGAAAGCGTTCAAAGCCGTACTCAGGAATTGTCGGCCTTTTATCAAAGAAAAGTCGTGTCATCATTTTTAGGAGGCGTAAGATAAATCATTTCAAATTTAAAATGAAATTCAATGTAAAATCTGAAATACCGCCGCATACGCACTGTGTTCTGGTAGTAGCTGTAGTCGCCCAGGTGCATCGAGTGTACGAACTGGTCGGTTATACGTCAAATACTAACCTGGCGAGCTTTGCCGTCAATTAGAGAGCGCTTCCAAAAAACAAGTAAACAACAGTGGCGCGTACAGAGGTAAAATGTAGTACATATGTGGAATTTAGGAAACAAATTGGATTTATAATAAATTACATTTAAAATAAATAGTTTATGAGAATAAAGGAATTTTTGTAGGAACAAGGGTGCCAGACCTGAACCGATCCCCTCGTCCCTTCATAATGTATAAAGAAATTATTCAATTTGTAAAACCCTTAAAGGCGTACTTCATTGGTTCCCTTGACAGGCAATGATTTATTACTTTGCATCGAATATGATCGTACTATAGCTAAAACAAGCTAAAAACTTTTTAAGCGATTACAATAGTAATAATAATAGTAAATAAAAATGACTAGATTTTGTCATAAAAATAGCAACGACGTATTTAAAAAAATTAACCCGATGATGGCCCCTCGAAGACGAAACGTGGGATTGCAAAAATGTTGACGCCATTGTATAGAGCGAAAAAAGTGGCATTGTAAATATGTAATTTATTTTAAAATTCATTTTCAAATAAAGCCAGAAAAAATTAAACAATTTTGCACAATTTTGGGTTGTTCCGGATATCTCCGAAACTACCCGGAATTTTAAAACTTTCTAAACAGCATATTGTTAGGTACAAAAAAACACAACTTGTTTCTAATCTGAGCCACCCCGTATCTATTACCGTACCAATGCCTATACCATCCTTATCTTGGACACATATCTAAGAATACATCAAACTTTAAACAAAATAAGTACACTAATTGATCCTACGAATAAAAAATTATTATTTATTTTATTTATTCACAATTCGACTTATGTTAATAGCATTACTGTACAAAAATAGTTTTGGGTCAAACAATGACAGTTTTTTTTAATTTTTTCCGTACAGTTGAATGGTGTAATCAGTTTTTGATTTTTTTTAAACAAACAAATTATCAACAATTACTGAAAAATTCATTGCTGGAAGTCATGTTTTACTTTTTTGCATTTTTGAGCATGTTTTTGAACTGTGATTACAATTTTTTTCACCAAAAAGTATATGTCAAAACGAAAAAAATGATTACCGGCAGAACTCTGTACGATAATTTTTTTAAGTAGAATTTTTCTTTGAAAAAAAAGTGTTTCAGGCCGAAAAAAATGAATATCAAGAAACTCTTGATTCTTTTATCTAAAAAAATTTTAGGTTATTTAAGACAGAAAAAGGTACACTTTCACCAAATTTCGTGAAAATTAAATTATTTTTGCGGATATGAGAAATAAAAAAAGAAAAATCAGAAAAAACCTGTTGTAGATTTTTGCATGATCTACAACTTTTGTATTTGATACTTTTTTGTCTGACGTCAACTTTCGCCAGAAATCCCAATGATACAATTTTTCATAACTTTTCCACCCCCCAAATCAACCCTCCCCCGCCCCTGCTCACGCATTTATTTTTATTTTTTTCGTTAATTATAAGCCCCTTTACTATTTACACTCATAAAAGTCCAGTTATTTTGATCGGTCTACTTATCCTATTTATAAGCATATTTTAAAATCTTCACAATTTTTATCAATTTTTTTTACTCAATTTATTAATTGAAAAAAATATAAAAATGACACATTATAAGCAACAAAATATTAAGATTTTGAAAATTTAGCCCAATAAGAATAAACTTCAGCGAAAATTGCACTGGGTTTGACAGCCAAAACGACGTTGAAACAATAAAACCTCGAAAATTATTTCTATCTCGTTCTGTTTTGTTCTGGAAATAGTCTAATAAATATATTTCGTGCATTAAAAACAATCTCAAAATTCAGCATTCAAAGTGTGTTGCCCTTATGAAAACGCATTCAAAATGAACTTCAAGCTCAAGCAACACGATTTCTTGCACTGAATTTTCGATAATTTTTAATGCACGGAAGAGTGTTCTATAGCATACACTTATTACATATATTTTACAGAAAATTATTAAAACGCTTGGAAAGACACCTAGCCTATGCTTTAATAAATTAGCACTGTTGCCATGTTTAAGGGCCTCGGAGTTTGCAATTGCTTTGTAAATGTAACGTATGTATGGGGGCCTCGCATTTGTTACTCCCAATTATATACAGGACTACTGAGGCGACCCCTACCTAATATTGAATGAACTAAAAACTGTATAAGAGGTGATATGCACATCACTTGTGAGTCCAAAAA